GGCGGCGACGGGGTGGGGAGGTGTGGTGTTCCCTTCAGGGACGTCGGTTGATGATGGGCTTGTCGCCTCTCCAGCAGCACAAACTGCGTCTCCAGAAACAGGGACCGCCTCTCCAGAAACACGGACCGTCTCTGCAGGACAGACTGCGTCGCCAGAAGGACAGACTGCGTCTCCAGAAACAGAGACCGCCTCTCCAGAAACACGGACTGTCTCTGCAGGACAGACTGCGTCGCCAGAAGGACAAACCGCGTCTCCAGAAGCACAAACCGCGTCTCCAGAAGCACAAACCACGTCCTCAGCTGTGTTCACCGCTGAGGGACAGGGACCTGCGGAGGGTGGCTCCTCCTCCTGGATTTCGCTGTCAGGACTGGGTTGTGGGGGGCCTTCTGGCAGAGATGGGGACTCCAAGCAGGGGACCGGGATTGACACCAGCTCAGTGACCTCTGGGGTGGCCAGGGAGCTGGAGGGGTCATCCCCAGGGGAGCTCCCCTCCTCAAGGACGCTGGCACTGAGTGCCGGGCAGTGCTGCAGGCGGGCACGTCTGGCTCGGGCCCCTCCAGGCTGCAGCAAGGTGGCAGGTGGCCCAGGCTCAGGGCCTCTGTCCAGCACCACATCTTGCTGCCCAGAGGCAGGGCTCTCTTCTGTGCTGACTTCTAGTAATGGCTTCTCCTCATATTCCTCCTCCTCTAGGGTGCATATCAGATCACTCAGTGACTCAGACTGTGCCCGCTGAGAGAAACGGAGATATAAAAGACACCATCAGTATAGCAAACATGAGGAACCTCTGACCCCCCCATTTTCTTCAAGGATTATTATGGTTTGGAGAAACTAGCGGGCCTCTAAAGCTAGCACTGAAGTAGACATTCACACACATGTCTCTTCTCAACCCCTCTACTTGGAATCCTGGCTCAATCCCTCTATTTGGAATCCCGGATCAAAAGTTCAGCAGAACAGTGGCAGGCTTACCCCTAAAACAGTTGTCACCTACAGGTTGTCTGGTCAAGCCTCAAAACCAGTGGACTAGAGAGGGAAGCAAAGGGAAGGAACCAACAGCTGCCAAGGTCAGCCATGCTTTGTGTTCCACACTTGTTCCATTTACTCTTCAATTCACTCCAGTGATGAAGGGATCATCCTTCCCTTTTTGCACTTGGGGACCAGGAGCTCAGAGAGGTCAATACCTTGATCATGGCTGAGCTAACAGGTGGCCTAGCTGAACAGCTGGGGCTTTTTCTATGACCCTGTGTTCCTCTGAGCCAGTCTCCCATGTCAATACTCTCCAGAGATGTTCCTCATAGCAAAGCCAGATTGGTCTTCCTAAAAGATGATTCATATGTCAAACATGGTCAATAGCTAGCCACAGTTTATAGGATAAAACCCACAATTTTCAGCTAAATTTAAAGTCCTACATTCCCTGGTTTTGTTTCTTCTACTTCCTACTCAAGTTGAGCCAAGCCCTCAACGATGCACCAGACACTTGGCGTAAGTGACCATCAGGCTTTCCCCACAACGCTCCCTCCATACCTCACCAGGATGCTCTACCAGCAGCCCCGAGGACTGCTGCAAACTTGACTTCCTTTCAATAGTCTTGCCTGTTCCCTGCAGTTTATGATTCTCCCTTCTCTGGCTTCCTGAAGTCCTACTGGCTTGACAACCATACACTGTCTTGTGGTGTTTTTCTTTAGTCTCTAGAATTCAGATTCTAGACCAACTTCATCCTTATTTTCCCAAAGTCAGTTCCTGCTCCCTCAGGAAGGAAAGGAAATCCAGGTAATTATGAATCATTCAAAAGTAATATGTGAAAATGACCAAAAGGTTGATGGTGCTGAGGTTCATTTAAAAAAAAAAAAAAAGTTCATGACATCAGACCCCAAGAATCACCCGGGCTGGATTGTTCCCTTTTGCCCTGCCAGGACAAAAGACATCCCTGTGGGGATGGAGCACAGACTCGAGGGCCAGAAGGGAGCTGGCGCTGGCGCTAGCCCTGCGGTTTCTCTTCAGATGAGATCAGTCAGGTCTGGAATTGCTGGACTCGTCAAGCCCCCACAGCACGCACCCCTTGACTGTCCATAAGCTGGATGCACACGCATGTGGCCAAGCACCCTAATCCCCGGCGTCAGCCTGAAGGTAACCCACCCTGTTTATTCCCCCAGCATTAGTCCCCTCAAAAGTCAACGTTTCTGGCATGAGCTTCAAAAGTACTTTCTACATACCCAAAGGAAAATTCCCTGTCTCCAGGGAGTCCCTGAAATCCTGAATGGCCCCAGCCCACCTATCTCTAGCTGAAGCATCTAGCCTGTCCTAGGCACTTCATCAATGACCCACAGTCATGTCACATGGAAAAGACAAAGGACATTAGCCTGTGAGCTAATCTCTTTGTCAGCACTGTCATTCTCTGTGACCAGGCTTGCCCCATTACCAGCTTCTCATTTGCTCCAGGGGTGAGGCATTATAGGCCCCGTCAGGCAGGGAAAAAGGGAACAATCCAAAGTGGACCTGGAACCCACTGGCATGAGGAAGCCACGGTACTCCACAAGTTGGTTTCTCGGCTTCCTGGATGATGAGGTAACGGTGCCCCCAGGCAGCATACCCAAAGAGGGGTCTGAACTTACAGGGGCACGATCCCTATGCTGCTGAGTAGTTCCTAACAAAGGCAGGTGTCCACTCTAATGTTTCCGCTTCTTCTGTCATTCACTCATTCACTAATCCACTCACTCATTCATTTGCTTGTTCATTCGTTCATCCATTCAACAATTCTGTGACTAGCATTGTTCTAGGGGCTGAAAGTATAGCTGAGTCAGGATCTCAAAGAAGAATGGTGAGATGCCAGTGAGCACATACATTTACAAAGGTCACTTCAGTGTGTGGTGAGTCTCCGAAGGTAGTGAATAGTCAGAGATGAGCCTTTCTGGGAAAGGGCCTCTGATCTGAGATCCCAAGGCTGAGAAGCAGCCGGCCAGGAGAAGAGTGTCTTGGAAGACAGTCGAACAAAGGCCTGGAGCCTGAGACGGCATGCAGAGCTCAAGAACCAAAAAAGGAGAAAACGGAGAAGAGGAAAGACAAGAGGTGAGCAGGACTTGATCATGCCAGGCCTGGAGTGTAGAGTGCCCTTAGTGCAGTGGGAAGGCATACAGTACATAGTAGGTTTCTGGCAAGTGGGGAATGATGAATGAATGAGTGAATGGAATGTTTATGCAAGGGAGAGACAGATCAGATTGATGTAGAAAAAGACGAGCAATGCCAGCTTCTGAAGGATGGTCCCATCGACTGTGGAGGTACTCGGAGGGGGCATGAGACCCTGTGTGGGGAGAGAGGTGGCATAGGGGATAGGGCGGTAAGCCTGCCCATCCTGCCTCTGCTTGGAGGATGAAACACAATTACCGATGACAGCCGCCTCATTTTACTGGACCGCTGGTTGCGGGGCTTGACCAGGAGCTTGTGCTTAGCTGCGGAGTTGTCCAGGCAGGATAATTCTGGAGGATGACTGAAATCAGCCACAGGGGTCAGGCTGCTGTCTGAGGTCCGGGGGGAGACAGCAGTATCACTTGTGTGGTCTGGAGACAGTGGCCGGGATGAGGACACTAAAGAGACCTACACGAGATAAGGAACAATCACACCGAGCATTAACTTCATGATGTGAAATGTACGGCCAGTGCAACAACTCTCTCCTTTTATCGTGCCAGGCTTCCCTGCAGTCTTTGGGTTTCACATGTGTGGAAAAGCTTTCAATTTGACTCCCAACAGGGAGCGTTCTAGGATATTCCTTGAGAAAGTTAAATGACTGGAAGTTTAAAGTGTTGGGCCAATCTCTGGAAACCTGTCACTCCTTCCCAAGGCCATGCAGAGAACCTGTGTGTACTAGGCTCCCACAGCAGGATGACTTTGTCTTCACCCACCTGTAGAAACTGGCACAGACTTTATGCAAAAGAGCTTTCTCCAGTGAAACACACCAGCTCAAACTGTCCAAGGGCAGAGTTACCTGGTCTTGTCCCAGGAGGGTGAGAGGGAGGGCCAGAGGTGTGATTTTAAGGACTGGAACGCAGGAGGTACCAAGTCCACCACCCAGAATTCCACACTGGAGCTTTGTTGGTTCACTCTAGGAGGCTTTTGTATCCTCATGTGTGCTCTTGGACAAGTCTGGCTTTACATTACCATCGGTTAAGTTACATATATGTACTAGTTTATACCTCAGCAGGAAAGAACTAACAGTCAGCAAAGAACAAACGTGTCGCCCAGGAGAGAGGAGATGCTGGCAGTCATGTGGGATAATAAGGCATTACCCTAAGATACCTGCCCAGCGAACTTGGAGAGCTCTGCCACTGAGTGGGCTCTCCTGCAAAGACACGTATAGCATACAGTTCGGCACACCTGTGAGCACATTCAGCCCAGATGAGGGGTAAGGTGCAGAGGGAGCTTCTGGGAGGTGATGGGCTTTTGGTATAACCCTGTGATCTTTGAGCAAACAGACAAAGCAAGCTTTCTATTTGAGCATGGTGCTCTGCATTAGTGTCAAGTTCACATTTAACTTAAGAATACAACTATATTCACCACACAAAGATTCATAAGCCCTCATGAAAATGGATTCCTTGGGAAAGAGGCAGTGAACAAGACACCAGTGCTGTCCCCCACAGCAAGCTACCAGGGACGTGGGCAGGTCTGGATGTCTCTTTTCTACAACTCTGGATCCCCCAACAAAGCAGGTGTCCAGCAGCCTTAGCTATACCGGACAGGGAGCCAGGAGGATGATGTATTAGGGAAATGGGCTCTGACACAGGGACTACCCCTGCAAAGGAATGGCATCAGAGAGGAACTTACTTTCCCTGTTCACATAAAGGTCCCTTTATACTTTCTATTGAAAGTGTAAGTTTATTTCTGAAAACTGGTAGACTATCACTAAAATGAGGGAGAATGAGCTAGAAGTGAACACAGTTCATTTTAGCTCTCTTTTAGCTACACAGGTACTTACAGGAATAAAGCACAAACAGTTTTTTTAAAAAATAGACCACAAGACTCCTGGCCATGACTGCATCTCTGCCTGTGGTTTTGGCCTCTGCTGTTGTAGCTGATGACTCAGGAAGTCACCTCAGATTGGGAAATCAATACTTTCCCCAGATAATCTTCCTTAAAGGTCATAAGCAGGATATACACACTTTAAAAATACAGAATCCTTAATATTTACCTTCATCTAGAGAAACAATGTGTAAACATTTGGTAAAACAGAAGTTTTTCTCACCGCCCAGGACTCATGAGAACAGAGCTGATCCATAGGTTAGAATGATCATGTCATCTGTGACAACATGGGCCTCTGGCCACCCCTCTAAATCCAGTACCCTGAAGTCTCCAAAGGGCAAACAGCAGTCCCTTCTCCATGTGGTTTGCCCTGCATCTGTACTGCCTGGGCATAGGGTCTTGGGCTCAGTCCCTTTCTGGCCCCTAGGCTGGGGGATCTTGGCAGAGAGTTTAATCTTCCTGTCCCCTGTCTTGTATAAACTCCATACTGGCTGTTACGTGATCTCCTCCAGAGGGAACTCAGCTCCTCTGGCCTCAGGATTCTCACTTGTGTTTTCACTGTTGTTCTAAGAGTTCTTGGGCCCTGGAAAGACCCACACCTTCACGACCAAGGAAAATCATGAGTTTTGGTCTTTGATCAGTGATGTAACTAGGTGGGTAGGGGTAGTACCTGCGGAGGGCGGGACGGGGCAGGGATGCTGGCTTGTGTCTCCATGGGTGGGCTGGCAGCATACAGAGGGTATCTCCAGCAGCTAGTGTCCTAATTTTTCATAAAATCTGTACTGCATGATTCTGGAAGCAGAGGATTTAAAAGTCTAATGCGTGGCACTTTGTTGCGCAAGATGTGGTTCAAAGGGCCCTGAGGAAGTGACTGTGGGCTCAGAAGTTTTTTCTGGGGTGACCCCGGGTAACAGCTGCATAACAGTGGCCTCAAAAAAGGGGTTCAGCCACTGAGGAGAGGGCCAGGGGCAGTGTGTGTGTGGGAGTAGCCATTAGACAGGAAGCAGGGGCTGCTGGCCCTTACAGTAGGTGAAAAGAAGCCTCTGGTTCTGCGGGGAGGAGGAGACACTGAACTGCCTGATCTCATCTGCCCCAAACCCTCTGAGGACACAGACTCTGACAGGTGATGGGCCAGCCCAAGACCTGGCTCTGTAGTGACGGGCACTTATTTGTCCATTTGTCACCAGATCTGTGTCCGTTCTTCATTACCAGGAGCGAAACAGGCTTAGCACACTTGCCAGTTTATCACCCTCTACACAGCATTTCCTACTTAATAGAAAGAAACCTATAATATGATTGGCTAGATAAAATTTTTCCTCAAAAATCATCAGTTGTTATCTCATGTAGCAATGAAATTTGAAAAAAAAAAAAACAAAAAACACTACATATTTCCTGAAAACCTTGTACTGTCAGGAAATGTCCCCTTGACTGTACAAGGGGAAATCCCTTCCCCAAAACCCGGAATTATCTTTTGGAGGCAGGCTTCCCCCACTAGGTAAGTGTTCTAGGAAGCCATCAGAATCAGTGTACCAGAGCTTCCAAGTAGCCGGAACTACAGGCATGCGCTACCATGCCCAGCTAATTTTTTGATTTATTGTAGAGATGAGGTCTCACCAAGTTGCCCAGGCTGGTCTCGAACCCGTGAATTCAGGCAATCCTCTCACCTCAACCTCCCAAAGTGCTGGGATTACAGGCTTCAGCCACCGCGCCCAGCCTCTCTCTCCCTTCTAATTGAGGCTTGAGAGCAGGCATGGGTAGCACACTGTCCTCAGACCCTGTTCTTGGAGCAAGCAGGGACAAGTCCACCTGGAGCAGAATTCTGAAGAGAATTATTTCTCTAGCCCGCTTTGTGTGAGTCCCCAACCCACACACTCAGCCAAACCACAGTCCTTTTCTGCCTTTTTTAAATGGGAACCCATAACTACACTAAAAAATTAGATGTGGTGGGGCTTATAGGAAAGTTGAAGTGGCTACTGAACAGGGTCACTTCTGTCAGAGCAGCAGCACAGAATCCACGAGACAGTGGTTTACAAAGAAACCCCATTTCATTGTGAACAGCTACTCGACCAGGCAAGAGGTAACAGGTGTTCCAGGGATACATGGGGCAGGTGTGTAGCTATAAAAACTAGACTCTGGCCTTTATTTATCTGTCAAATAGCAATATAACTCAGATGACTCCAACTCTATCCAACCCCCACAGCTAGGCTCATCCACACAGGAAAAATGATCACCTATTTTTATCATTTATGCATAAGTACAATGTATGGGCAATGAAGTGATCTTACCACAACGAAATAAAAATTTTAAAATATGGCAGCACCACGAGCTTATGCTGCTTATGCATGAGAAAGAGCTCAATTCCTCAGGCCCCTCCTTGAGAATTCTAAGGCGGAAGGTGGCATTTGGGACTGGTTCTTCCACCCTACTGAAGTCACAAATTCTTATCCTGCTTGTCAACCTTTCCCTGCTGCCCTGTTTGCCAGCAATAGGCCTCACATTACTACTGAACCATCAAATGCTCAGGGCCATGAGACTCAGACATGGGAGCCTAGATCAAGCGTTACATGTTTACTCTTCCCCTCTCCCTCTGGTCAAATGTCATGGCAACAGAAAACAGATACAAAGGTGTTTCCCTTCTTTTAAATGGGGTTCTAGTTCTGGTCATCTGCTCAGACAGGAAAAACTAGGTATAGGGTTGATTGTATCAACCTATTACTATCACAAAAAAATGTCACCGAAACCACATCTTCTAACCAGACCTGAATTTCTGTTCAAAGAATGACAATAAACACAGACCAAGGGCTGACTAGCTTCCAGGAACCCAATCTGCCATGCCACACACAGCCTCACTCACACATGAAGATCTTAGGAGAACCCCCAGGGGCTTCCAGAGTTCCAGTGCCCTCTGCGGTGGGTGTGGGCATAGACATGCAGTGATACAGGTTGTACTTGCCTTTATGGTCGTGCTGGGACCCACATCATGCAGCAGGGACATCTCAGGGGGGCTCCTGGGAAGCCCGTCATCCTCAGAGCTCATGCCAGCATCCTCTCCCCGCTTGACAGGAAGCCCCCCTGGAGGAGGCGGTGGTCCCATTTTCACATTACATTGTATTTTTAACTAGATTGGAATAAAGAACATTTGCTCTTATTCTCATCAATGACATTTATCAACAAATCTGCCCCAATTCATTCGTTCAGGAAATGTCTTTAACGCCCTTGCATAGTGCAGAGAACTGAACACTCATCTGTCACCAGCTCCCCCATTGCCATCTCTTGCTCGTTCATTCAAGAATGAGTCAAGATCCACTGTAACTCATTTGGTGTGTCTTGGGAAGAACCGTGATGCACATGTGATTCTGCTTTAAAGTATATCAATTAAACCAAGCAGAAGTCATCTCGATTAAAAACTTCTTGGTTGATATATGGCACACAAACCAGCTGGTACAGCCAAGAAAATTTTTACCTGCAGAGCTTTAATCCGATCACACACATTTTCTTGGGAAAACACCCGCACAGGCCGAGCAGGGTCCTGTCCGGACTCAGGGATGAAAATACTGTCGTGTGAGAGGGCCCGGCTGCCCAGTGTGCCCCTGGACTCCCTAGGATAAAAGAGCCACCGTGAGACTATGCCCACCTCCATCTCTTCCTGACCCCTGTGGGCCTCAGAATGAGAAGGGAGATGAAGGAGATGTGGGTTAATGGCACATCAAACAACACACCCTGAGCTGCACTGACATTGTAACTGCCCTTGACATCAGTTTCTCCCCACACTGTCAAATGCCACAGTCAACTATAAGGAGGGTGAGGCCATGCCCTGTGGGCAAACACATAGCCCCTCAGTTGGGCTGGAATTTGTGTGTGCACAGCAGGCTGAGGGCCTGCCTGACGAAGACATCCTCGCAAAGACAGTCCAAAACATACACCCACGACTGGTTTGAAATGAGAGCTGCAAATCTGCAAAGCCATGGCCTCTGTTTAGGACCTGGCACCTTGCAACCCCGCCTCTGTGCCCGAGTCCTGGATGGTGGTGGTCGGCCCTGCTGGCATCACCATCCCAGACTCTTTCCCAGCTCTGAGTTCAAGGATCTGGCTTGGAACTGAACCCACAGGACATTCACAAAATATTCTAAGAGCATCTGGGAATTAGCTGTCAGATTTTCCTAGCAGCGGTGGCCGCCTGAACAATAGGTGGAAGGAGATGATTGAGACCTGATGGTGAAGGAAGGAAAGCCCGCCTCTGCACACATGGGACATCTTGCACACGCCAACCCCACCCTATCCTCCCACGCCATCCCAACTCCAGGCATCCTGTCCACTGTGGGGCATTAAGGACTCTACCCTTGCCCCACTATAGATCAAACTGTATAGATTAATGCGATGCTTCCTTTTAACTAAACTCCTTTCAAGCCTGCAACAGTAAGTTTGCAAGTGGGAATCCATGGCTCCCAAAAGGGTGTGACCTCAGATTTTTGGAGGGAATCAAGCCAAGGGAAGGAATCAGGGCCTCCCTGCCAAGTGCAGCTCTTAACCCAAAGGTCACACACACACCTGGGTTTCTCTCCTCCAGTGGACAGCCCATGGCCCCACCCTCAGGAAACCACAACCAATGTCCAAACATCTCCATCTGGGTATAACTAGAAGACAGCATGAAGAGGCCTCCACAAGGATACGCTGGCAAAACCACAAAATGCCACATAGCCTTGTAAGGCCATTCACTACAGCAATACCTATAAATGCAAAGGATGGAAAACAATCCCAATGTCTCTCAGTAGGTGTCTGAATAAACTATGGAATGTCACATAATGGAGGACTCTGTGCTGACTGAACGGGGGGAGGAAAATCTCTACATACTGTATACAGACATGACAGATTATACTAAGTGAAAAAAATTAAAACCAATATAGAACAAATGTTCATGGCATGTTAGCTCTGTGTGGGAAAAGAGGGCATGACTATATATAGATGCACATATGTGTGTGTTTGCTTATGTTTTCAAAAATAAAGTTAAAAGGATAATTAACAAATGAATAAAAATGGTTTCCCATAGAGGGAAGGGAAAGAGCTAGATGGGGAGACAGGGTACAAAGGTACCTACGTTTACAATTCTTTGAAACTATGTAAACATTTCATATAATTAAAAGACAAAATCAAACAAAAAGAAAAATAAAACAATCTCTAAAACTAGAAAACAGAAACAAACAAACCTAATTTTATATCAGATTGTTGGCATGATCACACAGAGAAAAGAATGATTTCAAGTCACACTCTGCATTCAAGTGACATTTGACTTCATATCCAGAATAGAATAAATTCTAAGAACACACACACACAAACCCCAAAGATATCAAATTTTACTCTGTAGTCCTATTAGTAACACTAATTAAAAGACAGAGTGCAGGACAATGTTTATATGATTTCTGTATAGGAAGGGGGTAAGGAAATTATTATAAGTATGTGATAAGATAAAGAAAATAAGCTATTTTGTTAATATCATAAGGAGCCAAGATTTCCAATATAAGAGAAAAGAGAATACAAAGAATCAAAGTAAAAATGCTGCCTTATTAAACTTGTATTGGAAATATCCATGAATTAATGAATTATGATTTATTTTTCTTTTGAAAAATAAAACATATTTCCTAGCTATATTCACTGGAAAGGTCTTAGAACCAATGACAGCCAACTAGAAATCATCACCCTTGGCAGTTAGATAGTGGTGTTCAAAAACCATTTTGTACTACAACCAGGGCCCTGTGAAGAAAGGGCTGATTCCAGGTCTGGGGCAGAAAAATACGCAAAGGAAGCCCAGGATTTTTCTCTGTGCAAGAAAGCAAGGAAGCTTCCAAAGATCAATGGGGTCATGTCAAAAGAACCCAGGAGGTAATTTGAAATGACTCTCAATAGCCGAAGATGGAACAATTTGAGCATTAGAATGAATAAAGACTGTCATACTGAAGAAAATCAAAGATGCAAAAATCAATGTGTTCACTATGATACTTGAGAAGAAAAAAAGAAAAGATAAACCAGAACTCACTGGCCACTATTGGGAGTTGCTAGGGTACCAGGTTATTACTCTGAGGGGGACAGTCAGTAACAGAACCAAGCATGATCCTGACTTTCCTGTTCAAATTGAATTTCAGAGCATCCAACCAGTTGATGTAGGAAAGTTCTTCCTCATAGAAGAATTCCAGCTAGCAAATGTGAAATGAGTGACAAAATTAGGACCCCTGAACCCATGGCTCAGTGGGTTCAACCAGAAAGTATGCACTTCATGATGTGATGTGACAATAGCCAGCACCGTCTTGAACCTAAATCGAATCGAACCTCTAGATCTTTCTAAAGGTTTCCAAGGAATTGACAGAATATAGAAAATTATACCAAGAGAAAGCAAATCCAGAATGTGGGACATTCCGTGGGGCAAATGATCCCGCTCCTCCATCAGATCAATGACATGAAACAGAGGAAGGTGAGGGGAAATGGTTATAGATTAAGAGACTTAAGAAATATAACCACACAGATGCAGGCATGATAAACAGCATCATCTTTTTCAACCCACAGGGCCCATGTGGTTTGCCAGCACTAAGGTGCCTTAGCAAATGGAGCTGTTTTGCCCACAATAATGGGTGAGAAGTTGCCGCAGATTCTTGCAGAGGCCAAAGAGCACCTTTACAATCACACCTCTTCCTCTATGCTGCTCTCTAAAAGTGTCATTTGTACTTCCCAGGCCCTATCATACCCTAATCTTCCTTGCCTAGCATCAAAACCAGCAAACTTTACCAGTAACAGAGGTAGGTGCTGGGAATATACAGATAAAAAAGCACAGTCTCCACTTTCCGTGGGCTCCTGTAAGAGGGAAGACAAGGACAAGTGGACAAGAAATTTCACCCCGGCTCACCCCTCTGACTGGATTCCTGTTGGTGGCTGGAGGGGCCACTCCTAGGCCTGTCTCCCTAGTACCAGAACTGTGTGCTCTAGTCAAGAAACAGGGGTGGGTAGGGTGTAGGTGTTAGAGATTCCCTGGGCTGGCCCAGTGACAGTACAATAACCAGTAAATTATGATAATGTCTTGCTCCTCAAGGGTTTGGAACATACTACCTAAAAAAATACATGCACAGTCTGTCTCCTCCACGTTTCACAGGGTGCAATGTGAGTCTATCATGCTCCCTACTAGCTCCATGCTAGCACTGGGGGAAAAAAAAATCACTGAAAGAAAAAAAAAAAAAAAATTCCAATCTTTCCTCTTCAGTCATTTGGTGCCACCAAGTGGCCAGCATAATTTCTATTTCCTTAAAAAATAAGTAAGGAGGAGCAGAGGGGACAGGACACTATTACTGGGATGCTCAAGCCTTTGGACCCCATCTCAGTGTGGTCTGTTCCCCAAACCTGAAGGGTATTATGCTTTTGGAAGAGTTTTATCTTCAAATTATAGGGCTCATGTTGTTTAAAAGAAAATGTAAAAGCTGGCAAGCAACAAATCTATTTCTTTTTCTTCTAGTCACAGAAATAACTGCTGGAATAACTGGAGCAGATATACTATAACCATATTTTAATGAAATAAATGCTACAAAAATGAAGACTTCTTCGCTAGACCGCCTCAAATTTTCATATCTATTGGGTCTATTCTTCCTAATTCTATTGTTGCATGATTTTTTTCTAGGACTGAACAGCAAGAAGTCTTTGGTTGTTGCAGCTCCCTTTCCTCTCTGTCAAATGAAAATGTTCTTATTAGATTACTCATCGTTCAAGTTGGAAGAAATGTATTTTTCTAGGCTAGCATCCAGGTGTTCACAGAAGTTTTAAGTCAGATTAATCCAGGGCCCATATCCTAATCCAGTCATTTTCAGCTGTAAATTGTTAGGCAAGTTCCAAATTTTCTCTAAGGCTTATTTTGGTCATTTGTAAAATGGTATATGTACCTCTTCTCCCACAGTTTTAATGGACTTTTAAGACATATAGCACCTGGCATACAGCAGGTAACTAATCATACTTCCCCCCAACTTTCTCCATCCTTATGTTTGAAAAGACAGAAAACACAACTTGTATGGAAGAACTTCTAATGGAACTACCCGGGAGGCAAGGAGGCTCAGAAATTCCACAAGTTACCAAGATAATGAAATAAGAGTATTTGGATACTCCTGTTCCCTAATGGACCCTCCCTTTTGGAGCACTCAAACCAGAGGGATGTAAAAAGCAACTTACTCCAGTTCATCCTCAGAGTCATAGCCCACTGGTCCTGACTCGATGGCAATGACCTCGCTTCTCGCCTGACTTTGTTTCCAGGTGCTACCTCCTGTGGACGATGGTGATTCCTTCCTCTTCTTCTTCCCAAAAAACTTCTTAAAAGTTTTGAATTTGGATTTTTTCTTTCCTGTACAGATTAGAAAAAAATCAAACGAATAAACAAGAGCATGCGTTTATATGTGTGCAATGTGCACTTAAGGAGAGAAAGCAAGATTTCTGTCCACACTTCAGTCATTTGCTTCTGAAAAGCCTTTTTACTGTCCAGAAATATATGAGATACCAGTTTTGCATGACTGAAAACAAATCTTGATTTGTTTACTTAGGATATTTAAACAAAGGAGCCAAGAACACTTTGGTGCACAATTACAGAATCAAAACAAGCAACTTTCTTCTCATGTATAATCAAGTTTTAGTTCCTAAAATATACATAGTCAACAACAAAAGTCCTAATGAGGTAAAAGCTGTGTGACAATCCTAGATTTTTAAAATAATATAATTCTTAAATGTTGCATCTAGCATGAACATGGCACCAAGGACCATCAAAGGGGGCCCAGCCTCATGGGCAAGAGGTGGCTCACTGGAATGTCAACTGCACAATGAACTAACAACTCCTGGTGAGAAAAATTACCAGACTGGTCACCTGTGTGGTGGGAGGGGTGCGTGGCCAGACTGAACCGGACTCTGCCATGCTTCCTGGATTCCTTTGCTATTCTCTCTATTGAATGATTCCACGACTTTACATTAGCAGCTCAGCAACATTCATTCCTTCCCTCCAGAATATTGATGAGAACTGACAGTAAAAGAATACAACCTTACAGATCATCAGGATGCCATCTAACATGTTCTGAAAATCTGCTAAAAAATTTTATAACTATTAGTTGTATAAGTGAATAATTTAATAAACCAAATTTCTTAAAAAACAAAACAGAATCCTTCTGTTTATATTCATGCCCCCTTCGGAAGTTTACATGATTTTGCCCTCATGTGAAGGTTTACTTAGGATGAGTCTAGTAGGAGTTCCATTTTAGGTGGAACAAACCCCTCTCCACAGGGAAATAAGTTCCATAGCAAAGTTTTCTGAACTTCAAGTAGAACTTTTCTTACTTTTATAATCACAAAATATTTATGTTGTTAATGGATAGCTCTCAACAAGCATTAATTATCTGGAAAGACCCAAGAGTTTTCTGCATTTGGTCAGGACACCATCTGGCTTGTGCCTTGTCATGGTGTGTACCCATGAAGGCCTGAACAAATACACAGGCTCAATATCTTGATAGTTAAAGATGTGGCTTGCAGCATTAACAGTATAGATAAAAGTGTGGCTACAAAAACCCGGAGGATAATCATCGTACACTTTGGTCCCCTGGCAAGGGCTAGTCAGCCAGCCATTTGTTAGTGTTATTTCTTCTGTTAGGCTTTGTAATTCAATTTCTTTAATGGTTACACAACTAGTCCAGGTTTCTATTTCCTCAATTTGTTTTATTAAGTAAACTTTTCCTAGAAACTTATCTATTTTTTCAGATTTATTGGCAAAAAAGTTATTAATAATATACTTGCATTGTGCTAGCATTTACAACATCTAGAGTGATGCCTCCTTTCTCATTCCTGAAATCAATTATTTGTGCTTCTTCTTTTTGCCTGGATCAATTGCGCCAGAAGTTTGTCCATTTTATTTGGCTTCTTAAAAAGTTTGGCTTTGCTATTCTCTCTATGGAATGTTTATTTTATATTGATTTCTGTTTTTATCTTTATTTTTTCCTTCCTCCTCCTTTCTTCTGATTTACTTTCTATTTTTTAAACATCTTGAGATGAACACTTAGCTTATTAATTTTTAGACTTTTTCTATTTTTATAATATCTACATTTAAGGCACCATTTCCCTCTAAATCTGTTTTAGATGCATTTACACGTTTTTAATTTTTTATTTTAAGGATGTGAGGTATGATTCAGGATTAGATAGATGCCAAGGTATTTCTTTTTGTTGTTGTTGCTGCTTTTATGAATGGGATTATGCTTTTTATTTGGTTCTCTGCCTGTATGTTGTTGGTGTATAAAAAAGTGATTGTCTTTTGCATGTTGATTTTGTACCCTGAGACTTTGCCAAAGTCTTTTATCAGTACAAGGATGTTTTTGACAGATTCTCTTGGGTTTTAAAGGTATAGGATCATATTGTCAGCAAAGAAGGATAACTTAACTTCTTCTTTTCCTATTTGGGTACCCCTGACTGCCTTCTCTTGTCTGTTGCTCTGGCTAGGACTTCCAACACTATGTTGAACAGGAGGGATGAGAGCGGGCAGCCTAGTGTTGGAATTTTTCAGGGGAAATGCTTTCAATTCTGTTCATTTAGCAATATGTTGGCTGTGAGTTTATTGTAGATGGCTCTTACTATTTGAAGGTATGTTCCCTCTCTGCCTAGGTGTTCAAGGGTTTTTATCAAGTAGGATGCTGGATTTTATCAAAAGCTTTTTCTGCATCTAATGATATAATCATGCAATTCCTATTTTTAAATTTGTTGATGTATTGAATTACATCTATGGTCTTGTGGATGTTGAAGCAGTCCTGCATCCTGCAGATGAAGCATACTTGGTCATGGTAGATGAATTTTGAGATGTGTTGTTGGATTTGATTTGCTAGAATCTCATTGATCATTTTTACATCTATGTTCATCAGGGATATTGGCCTGTAGTTCTCTTTCTTTGTTGGATCTTTACCCGGTTTGGGTATCAGTGTAACGTTAGCTTCATAAAATGATTTGGGGAGAGTTCCATCTTTCTCGATTGCTTGGAATACTTTCGATAGGATTGGTACTAGCTCCTCCTTGTATGTTTTGCAGAACTCTACTGGAAAGCCATCTGGTCCAGGACTTTTTTTGTCGGTAGTTTTCATATAATGGAGTTGATTTCCTGGGTTGTTGTCTATTTAATGTCTCAATTTCTTCTTGTTTCAACCTTGGGAGGTTGTGTGATATTAGAAAGTCCTCCATTTCATTTAGGTTTTTGAGTTTGTTTCCATACAGATGTGTATAGTAATCTCTGATAATTTTTTGTATTTCTTCCGGGTCTGTTGTGATTTGATATTTTGCATTTTTGATTGTGTTCATTTGGGCTTTTTCTCTCTTTTTCTTGGTCAATCTGTCTAGAGGTCCAGCAATCTTGTTTATACTTTCAAAGAACCATCTTTTTGTTTCATTGATTTTTTTCTGTGATATTTTTGTCTTCTATGTCCTATATTTGGGCTTTTACTTTTGTGATTTGAATTCTTCTGTTGATGTTAGGCTTTTGGTTGTCTTATCTTTCCAGCTCCTTTAGGTAATTTGTTAAGCTGTTAACTTGTGATCGTTCCATTTTCTTGCTGTGTGTTCATAAAGAAATGAATTTTCCTCCCATTACTGGTTTCATGGCATCCCAGAGGTTTTGGTAAGACATGTCTTTATTTTCATTTGTTTTTTTTTTTTTTTTTTTTTTTGAGTTGGAGTCTCACTCTGTCGCCCAGACTAGAGTGCAGTGGCATGTTCCTGGCCACCGCAGCCTCGACCTGCTGGGCTCCGGTGATCCTTCTGCCTCAGCCTTCCAAGTAGCAGGAACTACAGGCATGCGCTACCATGCCTGGCTAATTTTTTTATTGATTGTAGAGATGAGGTCTCGCCAAGTTGCCCAGGTGGGTCTCAAACCCATGGGCTCAGGCAATCCACTCACCTCAGCCTCCCAAAGCACGGGATTCAGAAATCTTTTAATTTCTGCTTTGATTTCTGTGTTGATCCAGGAGTTGTTCAGCATCATGCTGTTTAGTGTCCATGTCTTTGTGGGCTTTGTGGGAGTTTTGTTGGTGTTGATATTTATTTTCATTCCACTGTGATCTGAGAAGGTTCATGGCAGTAGTTTGATCTTATGGAGTTTGTTTATGCTCAATTTATGGACAAAGATGTGGTTGATCTTGGAGTACATTCCATGTGGTGATGAGTAGAATGTATATTCCATGGTTGTTGGGTGGAGTGTTCTGTAGGTATCTATTATTTGGTCAAATGTCAAGTTGAGGCTCTGGATCTTCTTTTTGATTGTTTGCCTTGATAATCTATCTAGGGTTGTTAGTGGGTTATTTAAGTTTCTAGCTATGATAGGGTTAGAATCAATATCTTTTTTTAGTTTACCTAGAAGCTGCTTTATAAAAATTGGTGATCCTATGTTGGGTGCATATATGTTTAGAATGGATAGTTCTTGTTAATGTATTGAACATTTTATCATTATGTAGTGATCCTCCCATTTATTTTTTAAGTTTTGGTAGCTTAAAGGACGTTTTGTCTGATATTAAGATTGTAACTCCTGCTTTCTTTTCTGTTCCATTTTCTTGAAAATTTGTTTTCCATCCTCTAACTTTGCATCTGGGAGCATTCATTGTGGTGAGATGAGTCTCATGGAGACAGCATATTGTTGCATCATGTTTTTTTAATCCAGGTGCCATTCTATGTCTTTTCAGTGGTGCATTCAGTCCATTCACAGTCAGGCTAATTATTGAGATGTGAGAGTTTTTATCCCTGTCATGAGGTTCTTATAGAGTTCGTTGTTGCTGTTGTTTGTTTATTTCTTCGTTGGTTTTCTTTTAATTTGGGCGTTGATATATGTGTGTGTTTTCAATAGTTTTCCTGCATTCTTGGGAAGAGTGTGGTCATTCCTTTTTTTTTTCATTCTTCTGTGCTTAATGGTTTCTTAAGTGTTTCTTGTGGAGCTGGTCTTGAGTAGGCATAAACTCTTAGGGTCTGAATGTCTGGGAAGGATTTTAATTCTCCGTCACTGATGAAGCTTAGCTGGGCAAGAAATCTTGGTTGGAATAGTTTACCTTGGAGAACTTTGAAGATTGGACTCCAGTCTCTTCTTGCCTGTAGTGTTAAGGCTATTCTAATTGGTCTTCGCTGGTAGGTAGTCTGTTCTTTCTCTCTTACTGCCTTTAAGATTTTTTCTTTTATATCTACTTTTTGTATGTGTATTACTATGTGTCTAGGAATTGGTCTTCTCATTTGGAGTCTTGCAAGGGTTCTCTGAATCTCTTGTGTTCGAATGGTCACATCTCTGATGAGGGAAGTTTTCTTGGATAATTTCATGGAATGTTTTTTCCAGGGTAGTTTCTGTCTATC